CAACCCCGAAAAGAGTGTAGGCAACTGTGGAGTTACAGTCGCTAAGAGAAGGAGAGTTGTGAGTGCTTAAGCTGTAGTAACATGTGATTACAATGTCAGGCAGTTGCCGTGATCAAGAGTTTTAAAACGATCGATTAAGTTAAGATAATAAGCTATCAGCAACAGAACAGGCACACGGGATACCCGGAGATGACAACAACCGGAAGTTACAACATGCTTACAGCAATAGTGGTCCGTGTAGAAAACCACAAAATTGAATGTCCCAACGAGCACAGTGGTTTCCATCATTTGCAAATGGAAGATGTTTGAAACCACCAGGGCTCTTCCTAGAGCTGGCCGCCCAAACCAAACTGAGCAATGGGGGAGAAGGGCCTTAGTCAGAGAGGTGACCAAGAACCCGATGGTCAGTCTGACAGAGCTCCAGTGTTCCTCTGTGGAGATGGGAGAACCTTCTAGAAGGACAACCATCTGTGCAGCACTCCACCAATCAGGCCTTATGGTAGAGTGGCCAGAAGGAAGCCACTCCTCAGCAAAAGGCACATGAAAGCCCATATGGAGCACCGAGAGGACTCTCAGACCATGAGAAACCAAATTGTCTGGTCTGATTAAACCAAATTTGGCCTGAATGCCAAGCATCATGTCTGGAGGAACTCAGGCACCGCTCATCACCTGGCCAACACCAGCGCCATATAGATAGAAGAGTTACGACATCTCCGTTCACTCCAATGGACCAGTTTTTTTTACAGCAATGGCGGATCTTGGAGCTCTCAATAGTTCCCCGGAAGTTAGCTTGCCGCTGACTTGCGGGGCTATCTGCGGCTAGCAGCACAGTAGAGTTGCAGCATACCGTTCGTGTTGGACTTTGAAAGGTAAGAAGACGTTTAAAGATGTATACATATTGCGGATATTATCAGCACATCTGAGTCAAATTAACATGTGTATTAAAGGATGTTAGTGGATTCCGTGAAGATTATCCCTAAATCAGTAGATTTAGGGAACGTTTACAGATAACAGATTAGTCTAGGATTCCGGATAAAGTTAGCAACACACGTTAACCACGAACAGCCTATTAATCCGTTCTCTTAATGTTATTTCAACCCAACGTTGTGGAATTAGAGAAAAGGGGCTTCTTAACGTGCTTTTATCCGGGGTGGAGGGAGTTAAATATTAGTTACATATAACATTGGGGCGTGTGATTGTAGTGGGTGGAGGTGGTGAAATGAGGATATCCATCTTGGAGTTCAAGCTAGTATAATATAGTTCACGTTACACAATAATAAGGAAGAGAGCTATTTTTGTGATACATCGCTATTGATATGGATTTAGAGTGGATATTTGAGACTTCCAAACAGTAAACAAAAACGTAATTTATGGGTGAGTGTTTTTAGCAGAGCCATATAATGTCCTTGTGATTCTGTTGATTATTACCTGTCTGTATTATGTTGCAGCTCAGCTGATTTCGGATTGATGGCAAAGGGAGAGGGACTTAAGTGAGAGTGAAAACACAAGGCAAGTTTCAAGGTAATGTCAGCAATTTCCTATCCTATAGGTTGCTAGATGTATCTAACCCTTTCTCCTGTCTCTCTCTCTCAGCACAAGAACCCCAGGGGGATTCAATGGAGCCTGAAGACCTGCAATGAGACCCTCACCCTGCACCTGAGTCTCAACTCCCAGAGTTTTGCAAGCCTCTCCCTGTTCCTTAATTTTGATTAAACAGACGTTAAGCTTCCCAATGGTGTGGTCTTCGTTTTGTGAAAAATATGATTACCTCACATATGTTGTTGTTGCTGTTGTTGTCTTTTATGATAGTTAAATTGCTCCTGCTGACTTGAGCCAGCCATTCTTTCTTCGTCTCTCTGTCAGTGGGGAAACTTTACATGTGTACTCCTTTCTCTGAGCGATTGGAGCATCCCCCGGCAGCACAGCAAACCATGGGGGAGACTATATGCCAGGACAACACAGAGGAAAAGGCACAGACAAACTGCATGATATGCTATTCAATGTTTATTGAATTCCATTTCTTTACAATGGATGTTCCTAAAACAACACATTTAACATCATCATCAACATCATCATCATCATCATCATCATCATGCTGCTGCTAGTCCTTTGATAGTCTCCTGTCGTCTAATGCAGTGTTTTTCAAAGTGGGGGCCCCGACCCCCCGGGGGGGCACCAGGGGGGTCACGCAAAGTTTGAGGGAAAGGGGAATTATATTTTTTAAAGTTACATTTATTTCTTTTTTAGATGTTATTAATAACTGCATATCTATCAATATATGTGTCCTTTGATGCCAATCTTTTAATATTTTTTATTTATATATATTTTAAATCACACGACCGCCCTTCAAGACAATCAGAGTCGAGCTGCGTGAGAGCTAGTGAATATTTCGCTCTGCAGCTGGATGAGAGCACGGATGTAGCAAATATTGTTTATATATATATGAATATAAATATGTTTATTGTTAATATTACTGTTGAATATTATATACAATTATTAA